CAAAGAAGGAAAGATTTGATTAATATATTTTGTAATAGGTAAATTCAAAAACTTCTAAAACGATTATCATTTTATTTTTCTAATATAAAAGTGGTTAAAAACGATTCATGTTCACTTTTTTATCTTTCTTTAATTTTTGAAGGAATCTTTTTAGGTATATCTACAAAATCGGTTATTAATCTCCGAGTACTATAAGGTGATAAGTAGCAACGTTTTCGTCATCTCTATAAAGTGTAACCTTTTTACTGATTTTTCTTACTCGTTGCCAAATAGTGACACAGTGCCAGCCGGATATCTTTATTAAGAGCACCACAAAATCCCACCCCCTCAGTTGATTTGTATAGCTGTTGCGGGATGAAAAGCATTTCTACTCAGTGCAAGTCAAGTGTAATATTGTGTGGATTATTGTGATCTTAATCCCGCTCTCGCAGAACGAAAGTTGAATCGCATAAAAATGTTCTGTATACTTATGGAGGAATCGATAGAATAATTAGTTCAGACGCATCAGCATTTCCTTTGTGAAAAATTTGAAAAATATCTTTTTTTGTGAAATTAGTTTAAAGTAATATACAACTGATTTGGCTCACTGATGTACCTGCGCGTCTGACTTCTGTTGAGTATGCGTGAGATGGACACCTATAATTTTACAGATTACGATTACTAAAATGTGACTCATTATCAATTTAAATCGTACGCTATCGAAAATTCAGCACATGCCATATTAGTTGAACTTAATATAACTTTGTTTTGGTAATATTGCAATTTATTCTGAAAGAAGTACATAAAACAGTTCTTAGAGTATGGTACTACTTGAAATTATGTTTCTTTGACATTTTATTAAATGTTATATTTAAGGACTGCTGTAGACAGCCACTGTTGCTGTTACTGTTGTTTTATTACTCATTTACATTAAAATTTAAACGTACGAATAGTTTATTGATCGATAAGATAATGATAATAAATGACAGGCCAATGAAAATGAGTCAGAGTTTTCTCAATTCGACTAAATAATTTGAAATTATTTTGTTTGTATGTATATTCCCGGATACTTTCATCAAGTGTGTAAAGGTTTTGAATCTGTCCTGCATAATTGAAAATATGATATATTTTCATTTTATTTCATATGATAAATCGAAACCAAGGATAGTTGGTTTATGAGTTTTGGAAAAGTTTTTTTAAATATTAATTTTAATAAATTTAGTATCGCTAATCACTTTAATTTTTTTTCAAAATTAATGTTTTATAAGAAAATTTTCATTAATAACAAAAATAGACCTTTGGCTTTCCACGTTTTAAATGTGAATACGTTTTTCAGTTCCGAATATTATATTTTAATATTTTAAATTTCTTTTAGTAATGTCAATTATTTCTAAACTTCTTTTAGTAATGTCAAATGTTATAGCAAAATTATGATTTTTTGCTAATTATTACCCGAGGAGCTTTTCTTGCGATTCTTTATTCAGAAACCACGATATTTTTGGAACCCCTCGTCTTCAAATAATAACTGGATGCTCTTTCATAGGGGCGCCGTAATCTTTTGCGGGTTTCTACGCGAACGCAAACGAAATTTGTAAACGGGGATTCCCCCATTGAAGCCAGCTATGATTTAATGGTGAAAATAATAACGGAGAGAAAAAATATCCTACCTATATATTACGAGTAATCCTGACATTTCCGAGTTATTGTAAAGAGGACGTCTCCATATTTCTTATAAAAGTAAGATTTACTTATTGCGTTCAGTGTTTTATTTATTTTTTATTAATTAGCTGTTTTCCCATGACTTCGCCTGTAAACTATGTCATTCGCGTACAACATAGTTTTTCATAGGTAAAATAATTTTTAAAATCGGTAAACGAATTTAACTTTTTAATGCAAAAAATATCATTACATTAAGTATAAATTGCATCCTCTAAATGTGTGTGATTTTATTATTTTTGTTTATATAAATTTAACATTATTATTTTTTGACATTGACTGATGACATTTTAATTATATTGTGATATTATAATTAATTTTTTTCTTATTTGGACTTTATTTATTATAACTGTCTTTTGCTATAGTTTTCTTTTTTATTGTCGTGTATTTTAATCGTTTGTTAATATCTGCCCCACTCGCCTTGACTGGTTGATGGCTGGAAATTGGCAATTCGCCCGTTCCTGGGTGATTGAGATGCACCGAATCTTGATCCTTTTCTAACTACTAAAAAAAACTTAGAAGAAGTCCATGGCGAAGTGGTCATCGTAGCACAATTTGCAATAGAAAAAAATTATAAGATGGGTGACCAAAAAATTAATATCTCTAACTTATCCGTGCCACGAAAGGTGTGTTATAGTTATACTTCCGACTACAATTGAAAAAACACTACAAAAAACTTAAACTTTCAGTCATTTTCAATTACAAAAATATATACTTGATTTATGAACAAAAAAGCTGTTTAACTCGTGCTATCGAACGCCCGAAGATAATAAATATATTACTTTAATATTATGTGGTATACCACCTTCTCTTATACTTAGTTGAAATATAGTAATAAAAAAAAACACAAAATTATGAACTAATTTCCGTTAATGAAATTTCACGTATATCATAAAGAGAGAATTCTAAACAGCACATCAAAAGAAAAATGTGAAGGCACTTGTTACACCTACCTCCACCTATCAAAATTCTTATAAATAAAATAATATGGTTAAGTTATTCCAAGACTCTACATTTTCGCTTGACTTCGTTTGATAATGGTTTCTTCAACGTTATCTGCACGGAAAAGAATTTTTTAGTCGACACAAAGGAAGGTATAAAATAATCCCTTGTTTTTTATTATGGTTAGAGATAGCATTTACGCCTCTGCCTAGCATATTACGGCTACTGCTATAATAAACTGTATCTAATGAAAATTGAACGCTATGCATACTCAGAAGAATATGTGCCCGGTGTCATTCTATCTGAATATATCAGTGCGAATAAAATTCACGCAGTTAAATATCGCAGTGCGGAAAAGCTGGATGAAGCAGTGTACACTACATAATTGCACTAGGATGCCGACCAATAGGTTAAGATGCCGAGAAATTGTGAGGAGAATTCTTTTATGACCACGACCATTCTTTCAAGATATCATGTCGGCCAATAAATTAAGATGGGAAGAAATTACGAAGAAATGTAGACCGCGACCATATTTCAACAGAAAGCTGACTGAGAAAAGAAGGATCAGTTTCAAATTTACTTTAACATTAATACTTAAATTGATGTCAATATAAATATTATTGCAAAAAGTTTCACGTAGATCCATTAGCCTTAATGCAAGAAAAATTCTTTGGGGAGAAACGTTAAACGATGTTTTGATAGGTACACGAAAAAATTGATATCGATTCGTTTAAAAGGATTCATAATAATAATGATTATGCATATTTAGATCCGGATTTCATTATGATAGAGATGAGAGGAAAAAAGAAAACACATGTTATAAATAAATAAATAGAAGAGCTAGATTGCGAAAAGATTAGAGAATTTTGCAATGTCTTAGCGAACAATTAGCGTAACCAACTAAATAATTATTATACTTTTCGCTTTCCGTCAACTACTTTGCTCGCGTGGCTTTCCCGTTTTTATAATATTTTTCATTACTGCTATACTCCTGTTAGTCCTGGCTCGATGTTAGTAGCTTACCTAAATAAATGGACTAGGCATTCAACATAAAAATATTTTGTTCGTAGTGCTGGAGCCTTTTTAGGTTATGCTCCTGGTTTTAGCAATAAAACTTTAAAAATTCGGTGCGAAAAGAGTGAAGTCGTGCACCAGTTAATTTCCTCCGCGCTGATTGGCGGTATCAGAATTGGTTCCCTGATTGGTTTAATGATAATTGCCTCCGCTGCTAATTGAAACATTTCGACGGAAAAAAAAATGGAATCGTGCCAAAAACGTTTTCAGGCACGTTACAATTTGTAGGCGATTTGAAGTTTCTTGTTACTTCTTCATTAATGGAATCGCCACATTGCCCAAGTAAACAATGGTAGCAATTCTTATGGTACAAAATTGTCTAATTTTAATCATATTAAATTTGCGTTTACAATTCTATTGACAGAAGTAAACTTATTATGATATTATACGAATAGTATACAGGAATACAATTGAAATAGTTACATTTAATTAAAAGTAGTGGTTCCTGTGATATGTGGTTTTCATAGTTGTTATACTTATGATCTTCTAGGAGAACTGATTTTACCACGGAGTGGTGTCTAATTGGAGACCAGTAAAATATAATATTTTAGTTTTATTTTCGCTTTAAATATGACAAATAATATGTTAAATTGAAACTGTTTTATTATTCTTATATTAAATTTTTTCTTGTTATAAAGTGTTTAACTACCGCCAGAATAATTGAAATACTCCTAGAACCATTGCTTTGTATGCAAATATCAAATATCAGTGATTATTAGTGATCAGTTACATAAGTCTATACACCACGACGTTTCCAATAGCAATATATTCATTTTTTTTTTAGATGGGTACTTTCACTTTCGCTATTCGCATCATATATTAACAATTGTTCTAATCCGATTAATTTAATAGCATGGTTTCTGACGTCATATCAATATATGCCTGGTGGTCTAGACTTCGTATATTCTGGATATTTTATACGTTCAAGACCGTTATTTTTTTGGTAAAAAAATATATAAATCAGAATAAAATAAATCAATCTTGTGAAACAACGAGAAATTTATTATTTATATGGAAGAAAAAAGGCAGGAACTGTCATAACACTTCAGAAAGTTTTATCAAATGACGGTCTGACACGAACTGGGATTTATTTGGTAAGTTCCGGTATATTTGCGTGAACATCAATCAAGTTAGAATAATATGTAATTTATCTTTTTTATACAGATTAAACACCTCTCAAAAGACTCGTTTCCTCGTTTATTCCTGTGTTTTATTTTTTTTAATTCCAAAAATGTGTGGTATGTGTAATTTTCATGTGTAATAAATAATACATGTATTTTCTGTCACAGTGATCGACTGCGTGGTTTCAAGTTGGGGTCCGTGGTCAGAATGCGACACGAAATGCGGTTCCGGCAGCATGATGAGAAGCAGGAGGATCTTGCAGTCTCCAGCGCGCGGAGGCAGACACTGCCCGTCGTTAGTGCAGAGACGAGCTTGCCAGGAGCACACTGGCTGCTCAGCAGACAGCAGTGTGCCTTTAAAAGGTAATTTATTCTGATCCATCATCATAATCATCCGCTCTTTTACGTTCCCACTGCAGGGGCTCAGGGCCTGCCTTATGGATGGTTAAGGAGGATGCTACATCACCCTCCACGCCTGCCCAATCACGATTGGAGGATATTAACGACTGCAAATGCAGCCGGGATTACGTGCAATCCGAAGCTTTTAGTAGCTCAATATAATATTATTTTGGTCACCATGCTGTAACCGACCCTTGCGAGATTCCTTATGAGTAACAACAACGATGGCGGGTCGCGGCACTTATCCACTTTGCCACCGAGATACACGATCAAGTTATTAATTCCCCCACTGCTGGGCACAGACTTTCCCTTTTATTGAAATCAAATGTCAGAGCCAGGTGGGTGTTGACGAATGCAGATGTAGCCAGTAACTAAGGCTTATTTGCCTTCTGAATCACAGAGGGGGCAGAGATGATTAACTTTTGGCCATCATATTCTATACGAAGGTGCTTCACCAAAAATATCTAACACTGTACTGGTTTTGTTTAAAGAAAAAATGGGAAAATAAGGTGTAGTTATAAATGACAAGAATCGTCATTGTTACCGGGAATCGATTGCTTCGTCGCTACGAAGCAGGCTATCTGTTCTCTCTCTTTTCTAGCTTCTTTGTAATATGTCATAAGCAGCGTGCAATAAAGAATATTATTATAAGAAAAGAAACAACATTATATTTATTAGGATTTCGAAACGAGAATTTTTAATTTTCTGTATAAAAAAAGGATTCCTAAAATTCCTAATCTTTTATTATATTTGATCAATTTTGTATTCACAATGCATTTTTCTTTAAAAATATACATGATTCCCTTTAATTTTTCATTATATTGCTTTCTGCATACATAAGAAATTTAAAGCAAATATTGATAGAGAAGAAATGGAAACATTTTCTTTCTGCTTAAAAATTAAATGCGAAACATAATTTCATTTTACTGAAAGCCTGGCTAGCAGCATGAAGGTAAAGTGTAGAAGTTTAAAAATGAAACTTATTTTAATGACGGCAGCGTCTATTTTTTATTGAATGCTTCACTTATAAAACCGGAGAAATTTCTTTATGCATCTTTGAAGTAGAAGTCGATTGAATAAATCTTATTACTAGAACAAATTGAAACTACTTTATTTCAGGCATCGCTGATAATATTGGAATAATTTTGATCACCCGTCCTAAAACCGGCATTTATGAATATTGAATAAATTCTACGATTTTAGACCAATCCATATGTCGGTATTATTCTAATAGTATCTTTCAGCATTTATAGAATTTACTACGGGTTCGAAAGTTATACAAGTTTTTAAAAATCGACGGAATATTGTTGTTGATAAATCAATAAAAATGTATCGATGGTATCTTGGATTTGAATCAGTTGAATTATCTATAGTCAATAGAGTCAACAGTTGTACTATATATATAAATTAGCCTAATAAAAATTTATTTTCTATTAGCGGAGACGGCTATGATTTTACCCGGTGAGCTGTCAGTGAGTCGACACTCTAACGACACGGTGGACATACGCAAGAACCTGAGGCTGCGGAACCCTGATGACCCGGAGTCGAATTCACATAGAGAGTGAGTAATTAACTGGATTCATACTAAAGTGGGTGATAGACGTGCGTGAAAGTGCGCGAACTTGTGGTTCATCCATTTTACGTTTAAAATAGGGACAATATTCGGAAAATTCTGTTTTACCGTGCACTTACATCCAAAAATACCTCCATGCTAAATTGGAAATTCCATTTGTAGTAGTTTCTGACTGAGTGAGGTACCATTCTATTATATTCATACAGATTATTAGATATAGAGAGTCTCTTTAACAAAACCCGATCACTCTCCACTGATTACACTCTATATACAAAATTTGATTAAAGACTTTAAAAGTTCTTTACCCGGTAAATATAAGCATGTCAGATAAAAACATATTCTTGTATTAAATAGTACGAGATGATAATATGTGCCACTGGAATGGTACCTAAACTAGGAGTAAATTCGTTATTATGTGGTTTTAAGAATGGACCCGATAATAAAATCTTCATCTGGAACATGACTTTGTGAAACGAAAATGAATTGATAATATCATTGGCGCCTCTTAAGATATTTTAGACATCTAAGATGTGCAAGCGCAAGTGGGTAAAATCAGTTTTTCTAATAGGTCATAAGGGTAACAATTTTAAAAAAGCTAACGAATCACTAGACTATAATAATCAACATCGTAGTGTGTCGTGCACTATATAAGTCACAAACTGGCAGAGCTAACAGTTAATTGTGTAGTGTGTGCGGTATAGTAGGCATAGTAGACCGTATCATTTATTTAGTACCTGATACGTTCATAACGGCCAGTGGCGTAGCTACCAAGGGGCTAGGTGGGGCAGTGCCCCGGGGCCCTCAAGCTCAGGGGGCCCTCGAATCTTTACCAGAAAATCTCAATCGAACTCAATTTTTTACTCACTTTATAACTCAAAATATCGTGAAAATTACAAGTCCATTAATTGCATGATGTTTTTTTGACATTTTTTAAACCGTCAAATGTGGTAACACTGCCGGCGATAAAATGTTTGCCGGGAATTTCTTGTATCATATCATTACGTTTCGCTTTCCATTTATTTGTAACATTGTCAGTGAACAGGGAGTACCACTTTAGTACAATCTTACATAAATATTGCATAAATAAATAAGAAAACTAATATTATGGACAAAAAAAAAAGAAACCCAGTGGTGCATTTAAACGCAAACAACGCCAAGAAAGAGAAGAAAGTAATCAAAAATTGGCCAACATTGACAAGTTTTTTAGTCAGCCTTCTGCAAGTACTTCTGGACAAAATATTTCTATTGATAATTTTTGTAAATAGCTTGCATGGCGATAGGTTAAATAACAGTAAGCTGATGCAACGTATCTATGAATAAATAAATATAAAATAAACCCTTGAATCTTTTCTATTTCGTTTTATTGCCCAATACCTACACCAAATATAAAAATAATTGTAATTTATGTTGTTAGTGTTTAATAGTTTTATTACCTGCCCATGCACGAACAAGAGCTGATGATAAAGTTGCTTAGCATTTTCAAAGTATTTGTATATTTAATGAATTTACATCAAAAAATCTTACCAGTTTTGATAGCAGTGGGCCCCATTTTTTTATTTGCCCGAGGGCCCTAGGTTACCTAGCTACGCCACTGATAACGGCCATGGTAAAGCACGATGAAATGGAAATATCCTTAATTTTATGTGGCACTTAGTTACGCTTGTTTCGCAAAATACCTTCAATGATCGCCTCGGAGGTGCTATTAAAAAAATCACTGTAATATTTCCAAAGAGATTCGCTTTCTTGGAAGAGCCCCTTCTGTTCCCGTTCTCACATTCCATTTTCGATTTTAAACTCCTAGCGAAGTGGAAATTTCATTTCGGAAGTAACCGAAGTTACTGGAAACGAAAAATAATATTTATCATTACGTTTCAGCCAGAATATTTATGTGCGTGAGTTTGAAATTATTATCTCTCACTTTTGTCTGGATAAAAGTATCGTATGTTAATTTAGGATTCAAACTATTTGTTTAGCGTAGTTCGTAAGTGTTCATTTGAAGAGCTAACAAACGTGTAAAATAAACTTATTCTTAATTTTCTTTTCACATTATTCCGAAGTTACATGGAATCAATAAAATATTATTATACTCCTGTACATATTAAAAAGTTTCATATGATTAAATTTTGTCATAATAAGACATGATATACCTATAGGATTAAAACTAAATAAAGTAATATTTAGTACTAGCTTTTAAGTTAACCTCAAAATACCTTTTGTTGCAGATACTGCGTCCAATTTGAAGTAACTAAAGTGTCTAAGGCGTGCCACACGGATTCCGACTATAAGTCGTTAAGGGAAGGTATGTGATCCCATTGCAATGCAATTGATATAAATACTCGTAGTTTAATATCGGCAAAAGGTATATAGTTAACTTATTTTATTGTAACTAAAATATATGTAAATTACTGAGAAATAAAAATTTATTGGTCTTTCGAATGGTCTTTTTCCCATCATCTACTTATGATTTCTTTTAGGTATGAAGAATTATTATTTTTTTGCCTTGCTCCCAAATTGTGGTTCTCTGTAAGCCACACTAAATGTATGCTGTTTCAATCATCACACACTATATTCATCTTCTCTGTAGCCTTCCCTTTTTTCAACATCTAGAGTCTAGTTCCATCGTCTTCTTATGAATATCCATTTTGTCTCTTTTATAGTATGTGCGGTTGTTAAGGATGGAACAAACTACACTAGACTTAATAAAGATAAACAACGTAGTTGCAATTCTAATTTAAAAAGTAATTACAAGACGAAGAAGTTTCTTGATCTATAATGAAACCTTATTTGCAGGTCATACGGTATGTGTGATGTGCGAAACTGCAGCTTTGAGACGGGACCTGAACTGGCGTTGCGACGGTCATGGTGTACCCGGACAGACGACCAGATTCTTCGCCATGGTGGCGCCTCTGTGCCACGGCAAGTGGGTGCGCTCCGAGCAGAATCCTGATAAACACAACGATTGTTGCTTGAAACCTAATTTCATATTTATTTAGAGAGAGTATTCCAATTAAATTTTATGAAAAAGACTTGCTTACTTAAATTACTGTAATAATTGTCCTTTAAGGATTGATAGTACTGATGTAAGAACTTTATCACTGTTTATTATAGGATTGACGATTTGTAGGATGTGTGCTACGATATATAACCTATGACAGTGTTGGTGCAAAGCCACAATTTCGATATCGATAAAAATTGATTTTTAAACTAATAACTCTAAAATCACAAGTGTATCTAGCGATATCCATCCATTTAGTATCTGGAATCAATAATAATATTTGACCTGTGAAGTCCAACTGATACTTAAGATCACAATATTATCACTACATTATTGATTGAAATCGTAACAACACTGCTGTAAGGTTTATTTTGGTTAGACATAATAATAAATTAACACTTCTTTTTACTCCTGTAAAATTTCGAACAAAATATTTAATAACTTTACTAGTAATCTGTCCACGATATTCATTTGAATAATTTGTATTTTATTCTACTAATAATACATAGAAATGTGTATGTTATTAATATAACGTATTAAATAAAATATAATCAGCACCATCTATAAAAATAGCATGATATTACTAGTTAAACTGCTGCCAGCGTAACAATCTTGTACAGGTATATTTTTCAAGCACATGCTATTCTTGCGATTTGACATTATTTTCGCAAGCGCTGACTGACTAAAAAGTTTGTGGAGTTTTTTTTTATTACTAATAATAAATCTATCCTAATAATAAGCAGGTATAGTTTATTGAAACTATCTTTTTACTCTTAGACTCTGGATGTAGCACAAAATAACTATTTTCTTAAAATAAAATAGAAGAAATGCAATTAAAGGAATTTTGTAAATAGTTGCTAATTATAGCGTGAAAGAAGAAAAAAATTACGGAAACGCAATTCAATCTTAATACCGAATAAATTTTCATTATAATACATTAAGTTTTTAATTTTTAAGATTAGTTTTGATAATAATAGGACAATATCATTATTAGAATAGGTACTTTCTATGTGAATACATATCCATGTGACTTTATGTAAATAATTATGTTGAATAAAGCAATGATAAATAAAATTTTGTTTAATTTATAACCTTCATCATGGTAACGATCGATTTAATAATCTATTTTTTTCTACCAATTAAAAATATTGACGACCTCCGTAGCCGAGTAGTCTACATGCCGGTTTTAAGGTGTCGCCATCTCTTAGGTCCCGATCGGGTCAATGTTGAAAATGAACTTTTCTAAATTGTATCGGATCTGGGTGTTGTGGTACCTCCGTTGTCTCAGATACTTCATAATACGGGGGCTTTAGTTACTCATCTTGGAATACGAGCAATGTTTGTGATGTCGTTTAATTTTTATTTATCTTTAATTAAATAAAAATCGTAGCTAAGTAGTTCGCATACTGGTTTTAAGGTGTCGCAAGGTGAATATAGAAAATAAACCTTTATATATTATCTCGGGTCTTGGTGCTGTCTTGTATACTCCTTCATACGCAATGTATGAGACATTATCTAATATGGTGCTTTGGGGTAATACCGAGAGCGCGGAAATTTCGAGAAAGACGGATTACCACCAAATCAGGCATTTTTATATCAACCATTTTTATTGATAAATAAAAAATCTCAAATTAGATAGAACAAACATATTGCTTGTTAAATGTCATTTTCAGAATTTCCACACATTTGTTATTACCCTAAAACAACATATTTATTTTGTTATTATTTATTATGTTTTTATATATAATGTCTTTATTATTTATTTATTTATTACACTTCTGCTACATGCATGCATGTGCAAACCGTAACTGAGTTGTAAATAAATTCGATATAAGAATAGGAATTTAGTATTTTATATGATTGTAATCATGGTTTTAGAAATAGAATAAAACAAAACCGCCATCTATTCGAAATCTTTATCGGATAAGTTTGATCCAATATACATGCAAATTTAGTGGAGACGAGGGAAAATGGTGTTTGCGATGAGAAACAGTGTATTTATTTACTTGTCTTTTATATTCGACCTTCGAACGAGCGTGATCAGGATTTGTATTCGTAAAGACTGCATCTTATATATGAGGTATTGTTTCATCTATCTTGTGGACTATTTACACGAGGCCAGCAGCCAAGACAGTGGCTTACTGGAAAGTTCAGGATTGGCCTTGTATAAACGTATAGGTATCCTTGGTATCCTTGTATAGGTATCCTCAAGCCACTCCAATAGAATAGAACGATATATAAATTTTATTGGGCTGGTTTACTGGCATCTTGTAAATGGTCCATTAGTACTAATGGGTAGGCTAACAAGTAGATGTCATCATTATCATCATCATCTGTTACGTTCCCACCTTATGGATGGCCATGACTCGCCACGTTGGCCCAATGCGGATTAAAGGGTATCGACGAATGTAAATGCAGCCGGGACCAACGACTTTACGTGTTTTCCGAAGCACGGAGTAGTTGCTTAAAAACTACGATAATGGGCTGCGGCGCTTATCCACTACAAAACCGACCAATTTATGACGTCTTTTCTTTTTAACTCCAAATAAAAAAAAAATCTCTTTCCTCATCAAATGAAATCCGTTAATATCCAATATACAGTTACAGGTTCCCTCCGAAATGAAATTTATATCTCCTTAACATTTCGCCTTCAGCAATAAGTCAAATTGTTTCGTCAACTTCCCTACCTGGAATCATTTGGCTTTAGGTGTCTATTCTTTGTATTCATTAAATTCATACGAAACTTTTTGTCACCGCTGTAACCTGATATGAAGAAGTGAAGTTTTTTTATTGTAATTATTATTATTTCTTATATGAAACAACTTTTAAACGGTTTCATTGCATTTATATTTAGTTTTATTGACGTTTCGAACCCTTTACAGTTTCCTTGTTCACATAAGACTAAGGTGTTGATTGTCTTTTAAATTAAAACTATAACTACACATTCACAATACAAAAGAAATATGGCAACGTTTACAATTATAAAATTAAATTATTTTAAAAATATATTTGAATTATTTATATAAGCCTGGCTACTATAATCTACCACCAGTTCCAACTTTGGAAGTCTTGTCTGCGACGAACTGGCGAAACAAAACTTCGTCAAGAAAACATGAAATATTTATATTTCTTTTGGTTTTGCAATGTGTGATCTGGATTGAGATTTTATTTGACTTATTACTGGATCTTAAGCTGGTGGTATATGCCAACCTTCATCTCAGGTGTTTTGGGTCGCTTCAGGCGTTTGAGTTTAATCAATAGGTATTATTTTGTGTTATAAAAATCTATTCACAATAAAACTATGAATAGAGGAGACGTGGCTTCTCATGCAGTAGTAGCCTTAATGGGTGGGGATGGGGAACAGGGCCACTCTAGCAGGGTCCTCGAGTGAGATAAAAATAAGTTATGTATAATAATAAAGTAAGATGAGTATATAAATTATATTAATATATAAATTGTATTAAGAGTGTCAATTAAAACAAGTAAGGGCCTAAACTGCGTTAAGAGGGTGCCTGCAACAAATCAAGTGGTGAGGGTGGGTTGAATGACGTTTGTAAATTCACTCCATTTTTGGAAATAAAGACAAAATATATAGTTTCTTTTTCTGCTTTGTTGAGAATAGACTCCGCGTATTTAAGAATCTCAGCGAACTTTTAATGCTGCCACATAAAAATTGCCCGCGGTTTCATACCCTGACAAATTCAACGCCACAACAAAGATTTATTTGCATATATTTAAAATTTCTCGCTTCCTGCCTTTTAATGCATGCAGGGGTGACAAAATTAGTTTGCATAAGTATTCGGTCGTAATTCTGGCGTTTGCTGAATATAGTAGGATAGGTACTAACAAAATTTCGTTGATAATATTTGCCTTGAGGCAATATTTAAGCCTTAAAAAATAAAAATTAATAGGTAATTTTAAATTAGAACTTTATATCTAAACTTGTTCTTGTGTGTTTTAAAATTGTAAAGATCTTAAGAATAAATCTGACAGAATTCCTAGTAAATCTTTCAATTCAATACTTTCAAGTAGTTCTTCTATTTAAAATTTAAATAAAGACGACGTGCTTTCTTTGTGCCGAGTTTCATTTAAATTAATTTATCCTGAAAATGTGAAAGTATCTATAAGTGCTCTCTGAGATAGGTATTTTACTAACATAAGCAGTACAGAGTATGGTAAACTTATTAAAATAGGTAGACATCCGGTATTCGATTCCCGGTCGGGTGAGATCAGAAATTCAAATCATGATTGGGCTATTACCATAAGATAAACAACTGCACTAGATAAAACAAAAGATATTTTCTGGTATTGCTTCTAAATTTACATAATCTTGAATCTCGCTACTCTTTCTATTCGATCCTATATTCGAATCAAAATTTGGAGAATCAGTAATCAAAAGCTGGGACTCATTACGAGTTCATTTATTTGTACTTTATTTATATAACTATTAGTAATTAATTTTAATAAAAAAAATATGAATAAACACTTACCAATAATAAAATTTAAATCAATAAAATAGTTAATTTAACATTGGCAACTTTTGCAATTTTGCCCGCGTAAATTATAGTTTATACGAGGGTCAAACTGAAAGTTCTTAGAACTGGCCACTTATAAACAATATAATAAAAAAATAATTCTAAAATTTGAAAATATAACTCTTTGCCAATATTACTGAGTATATATTTCATTCATTTGTCATTTGTTTTACGATTTGGCGGCAAATTGAAAATTGTCTGTGTCACGTCATCATGAATTTAACACGAGAAAATTTTCGTGCAATGATTTTTTATGACTTTCGATGTCATTTAAGTCAACAAGAAAGTTATGATAGACTACGATTGGCCTTTCACGATGAAGCCCCATCTCGTGCGACTGTTTACAACTGGTTTAATGAGTTTAAACGTGGTCGCACTAATCTCACTGATGATTTACGTGAGGGACGGCCTTCTACGGCGACGACTGAAGATAACATCTGTGTTGTGCGGCGTATGATAGAGACTGACAAAAGAGTGACCTATCAACAGATTCGGACAAGCTTAGGCATCGGTATGAGTCAAGTGCACAAAATCCTCCACGAACATTTAGCGGTCAGGAAGCTTTGCGCCCGGTGGATACCTCATAATTTGACTGAGGCTCAAAAACTCCATCGTGTGGATTGGTGTCGTAAAATGATTGAAAGATTTAATGGAGGTGACTCAAATGCTGTGTTCGACATACTAACAGGTGACGAAAGCTGGATTTACTGTTATGATCCTAAAACCAAAAGACAATCTGCTCAGTGGGTGTTTCCTTTCGAGGAGTTGCCAACTAAAGTGAAGAGAGATCGAAGTGCGGGAAAAAAAATGGTGGCCTCGTTCTTTGGAAGGATAGGTCATTTTGCAACAATTGTGTTAGAGGATCAAAAAACAGTTTCTGCAGAATGGTACACTACCAATTGTTTGCCACTTGTCTTGGAAAAAGTTCGAGAGAAACGACCTCGCAGTAGGATCCTCCTTCACCACGACAACGCCTCGTCGCACACCGCCAAGCGAACGATCGACTATTTGGCGACATCAAACGTTGAATTACTGGGTCACCCGCCGTATAGCCCCGACCTCGCGCCTTGTGATTTTTATTTATTTCCAAAAATTAAAGAAAAACTTAAAGGAAAGCGATTTATGAATGCTGAAGAAGCGGTGGCTGCGTATCGCGATGCCATTGAAGAGACCCCTAAGGACGAGTGGGCAAAGTGCTTTTCCCAGTGGTTCCATCGCATGCAGCGGTGTATTGACGTAAATGGACAATATTTTGAAAAGATATAATAAAACTAATAACTGGCTAATGTAATCAGTTTTTGATTTTCTAAGAACTTTCAGTTTGACCCTCGTATTACCTGCACATGGAAGTCCTTTCCCGTAGGTGAAAGTATTTTCAAAATCGGTGTTGCGGTTTCGGAGCCTATTCAATTTAAATAAATGAAATCATTCTCCTTTTTAATATCAGTATCGATAATTTTTATGTTACTTTTACATTAAATTTATAATATTTCAAAATTGACACCCCTAATAGGAATATGCTGTTTCAAAATTCCGAACGATTCTGTTATTATCTTGAATTACTGGTTGTTGCAAAGTTATTATTTCCAAGTACGCATTCATTAAAACGTAATCTCATTTCGTGAACATTATCGAAGAGTTAATGACTTAGTTACACTGGTCGACGGGGTCCGAATTCAGACTGGACGATCCAGAGGTCGCCTAGCTTGTAGACAGGTCCTTAGCGTCGGTCAGTAAAGTAACGACAGACCATGATTGGCAGGAGATTTCTGTGACTCCACAAAAGTGAGTAACAGAAATGACCTGCAAACCTACACGCGGTCTTTATCGATAAGTGTAAATGAGTCTAGAAGCACATATTTTTTTTAATTTATTTATTAAAGGAAACAAATAGTCTTACAGAATTAAATTAAATAATAAAAAAGATATAAAAATAGTTACATACATATTAAACTATAAGGATAAAGGCTTCTGTAACGCTCGCTGTAAGCTGAAATCGGGGAGAGATCTTCCCTAGTAAAGCTGTATAAAGCTACTAGAGGTAATGAAGAATGTTTACTAAATTGAAATTCTAGCTCTTCTTATAGTCTATTAAAAACAAAAAATACATATGAAAGAATTATTTTGATACGTCAATTAGTTTTTGTGATATTGTACTTTAAAGTGAGCGCGCAACGCGAGATTCCGCCGGTGTCGTGTTCGACGCGCGTGACGTCATATACCAACCCTCGTTCACTCAGTTCATTCACTCGCAGTGAAAACAACCTGCTCGGCTTCATGGCGTGTTGCATCAAAATTTTTAGCTTCGATTATATTTATTTTAGTACCGATACCAGAAAGCTTGGATTTTTTCCACTGACACTTGGTTTCAGCTGTTAAAGGAGTTGATGATGTACGAGGGAGGGTATTTAAGGTTATTTTAGGGCGGGCCGTGGTATGTTTACAACTACTATATTTAAAAAGCTTTTGTACATCTTTTCAACTTATTGCAAGTATTTAGTTATATTATAATATATTCACTAATAATGTATATGTAACAATCTTACTACTTAGAACTTGAATATAAATTTTGGTAGGTTACATTACAGTTTAATAAGTAATTTTAAATAAAATAATATAGATTAGTTATTATCTATACCCGAAAGAGACATATTATTACTAGAAAGACAATAAAACTACTTTTGCATTTTTACTCCTTGTATTTTTCAGTGGCGACGAAATCTCTATTATTCGATTAATAACCGGCAACCACACAATCTATCTATCAGGTAGGTTATCCGATTGCTCTTTTTCGAATTCTTCATCCATTTTAATTAATAGGATAAACACTCTAACACAAGCAAGTCACAAACAAACAAAGTATCCGCGAGATCTCGTATCACCGCTGACGACTAGCGAGTAGTGCTGTCGGCTAGATGGAGCGTTGGAAAATGATGTCACACACCGGCTATATGACTGAGCGGCACTCGGATAAATTTGCAAAATTCAAATACCTGTACAATTATAACTACTTGGTTGTTTTTAATGAAATGAAAACAAGTGTATTTGTATACATAAGAATTTTACTGTAATGTACTTTGAAGCATTATTTCATATCTATAATCGTTCCTCATTCTTATCTCTCCAGAAAAGATGCTATTTAAACATTTTGTTGCAAGATTTAGCGATATGTTAGACGCAAGTTAAAATGACGTAAGTTAAATAAAACATTGCAATGAAATTTTTAAATATTTAGACCATTTTGTGACAGTAAAACTACTGTAAAATATCTAGTAAATTTCACTCCTATTCAGTAGCTTCAAGACTGACTGTGCTGTGTACCGACTGCAAATTACTTCACATCGTATCCTCTGCCATCGGCCAACCTCGTTGCAATTTCAGGATTAGATCTTACCAACTACTGATTGACTCGATGATTTTGTGTGCGGGTGATGCATAGTATATCTTGAATATACTGACTAAATTTGGAAGTGGCTAGGTATCGTAGTTTCACCACAACTACTGCAATAATAACGCGTTCCTACTGCAAGGGCTCAGGTCTTCCATATGGATGGTTAAAGAGAATGGGCCATAACCCTCCACACAGGCCCAATGTGGATTGGATGGTATTAATGACTGCAAATGCAGCCAGGATCAATGGCTTAACGTGTCTTCCGAAGCACGGAGTAATTAGAGATAATAATTTTTTTGTCAACCATCCCATGACCGATCCTTAACAATAAGCGAAAGTTGCTTAACAATAACGCTTGCGTGCCGTTAAAGAATTATACTCTTAACTCAATAATTATCTGCATCTTGACGTAAAGTTATTCAGTACTCTCCTTTATCAGGTACTTGGAATTGGAAAACGATGACTAGGTAGGTGCAAACAGTTCCAGCTATCTGAAATGACGTAAAAAATTGAATTTAATAACCGAATCACATAAGACTGAGAGACATTGACTTCATGTCTCTTTGGCGTTTCGCCTCGGAATGAGAGATTTTGTGCTCTGCATAATATTTCTTATTCCAAGTATGGTCCCTTTTTCTGCTTATTTGATTGGCTCAGTTTTAAATTCGATAATTTCGTAAAACTACTTCTAGATGTCAAATAAACTTTCTCAGCAACAAAAGTTCACGTCAAAATTAGATATGAAAATCATAAAGATATTTTATCTTTTACGCTCATAAAGGTTAATATTTTAACAAAATAGACATAAGATTCAGGGTGATTAGTAAATCGTATAAAAAAAATATGGATGATGGTAGTGAGGTGCGGGGCAGAGTAAAAAAGCAGCTAGTGAAGAAGAATAAGAAGACGTATAAGGGATCTGCCATTTAACTTTACTCACATATATGTAGTGTAAGTTGCACAAACGTCCATTAATATTGTCATTAATTTAAATAGATCTTTTGTTTGTGCAACTAGGTTCTTGACAATTACCGAATCTGTTTCATGCCATTCTTCTACGCTTTAATTAATAATAATTTTCTCTACACTCTGACTCTAGGGTAAACTTAAAAAAATACTTACCGATGCAATAAGACATCTAGAAAGGGTACATATGCCCAACGGCGAGTAGGAAACGTTATTCAACGTGAGATACTGGTAAAACTTCTCCAACTCTTCATATAACAATTGATCAGTGCATTGAATAGTCAACTTACCCACCAGCAAATTAGTGCGGTTCGTCTACAAGAACGTAAATTTAATAACTATTTAGACGGCTTCTGCATAATAGGGTTGAATTGCAAAATTATAACTTTTCGGAAAAGATTGTTGCGAGTTTCACAGGAATATATATTTAAATTAATTTATTTTAAATTGGGTCCCAAATAGCTGAGTGGTTAGAGCAGTCACCCGGATTGCGAAAGGTTTTGGGTTTAAGTTCCACCTCGGGATACCTGGGGTTGATGTATTTTTTAAGAATATTAACTAGCATAGCATTGTGAATGCAAAATTAATAAAATATAATAATAAAAAATATTAGGCTCATGATTTTCGCTATGATAGCTATTGCGAAACTTTCATCCGTATAAAATCCTTTTCTACTGCATATGAAAACATTTTTTGTAACGCTAGACTTGTGTCATCTATTATAAGTAAAAACGTATGTAGGTTAAAACTTTAGGTACCACCAAAATCCAAAATGGCCAAAACACAAGCAGTGATTTTTGACCCTTATATTAGACTAGCCGATTTATGTATACTCCGTGATTAATAATTATCTCACTCATACTACAAGGTTACAAATTAGGACCTAAATATTATATGTACTTACTTCTAGGTATGTTTTGTGACATGGCTCAATCAAAGCAACGACTGCTAGAACATGTAGGATAATCCAGCTAATCTGTACTAATAGCAGTGGAATATGAATTTGCTCTCCAACTGTTTAGAAGGAAGAAAAATCAAAATATGCAATCATTTGCTTTAAAAACTGATTATCATGTATTTTTTTTTATTTTTACCTTCAATGGGAAGGGTTTGTTCAAAAAAACTTTGGCATTTTTCATGAAAACCAGAATGAAAAAACCCTGTTTAAGACAAGTACATATGAGTTACAAGTGTTTACCGTCATTGCGCAAAACAAATATGTATGTGAATATTTCCAATCTTCACTATGATCATGAGATAAAATTTAAATATCATGACGTTACTGTCATACAAGTGTGTTTTAATTTATGAAATTGAAATCCCAGTTTTCGAAATCTGGTTCATACATTAACCAGCTCCAAAGAAACGTAACTCATATATTGTGAAATCATTTTTAAAATAAAAATATTTTTTTCTAATTAAATACCGTTCATCCATCAAATATGCACTAGGTGTATATCTGATCTGACAGAAGATCTGAATGAACGTCCAAACTGAAAATGAATTATCTGGCATAAATTGCATAAGGATGGTCTCTTGTTCAAAATAAACTTTATTAAAATATATAATTTACTTACGAATATTTATGATCATATTGTATGGCGTCATCACTAGTCGCAGAAGAAGAATCAGGAGAAGCATCATATTACCAAAGCCGTAATTTTTGTCTTGATTCCTCATGACATCACATATGCTGTCATATATCGAAGCGAAACAACGAATAGTATCGTGGGGTGGTCTCAAATGGTTTGTTGCAGCGCTTGGTGTAATAATAAGAACAAAAATTTAAATATAATTTAACAGCTTTAAAAATTCAAAATACACACGTAAATAGAGTCGACAGCACAATTTGGTCGTAATGATCGTAAGATTAAGTTATTGTTAACCTTAATCTTAAAATTAATACCAAATTTATACATTTGAATATATCAGACAGTTTTAAATTGAATTATTAAGTAAATATGTTGACTGTCTAGTATAAATAGCGGATAAGGCGTTTTACTTCTTTAAGAGACACCAATGTTCCGAAAGATATTTTTATATTCCCTCAAAACTTTCGGAGCGTGAAATTCTAGATTTTTCATGTCACGATAAAAGTCGTCTTATCTAGACTTCGCTTTGTCATTTTGCCAGTTGACTCATCTTTTACTAAGTTTAATTATGTTAGACAAGTCGACGCGTTTGTGTCTGGCAAATTCATTGTTATAAGTACCTATTAATATTTAAAAATAACGGTCACCAACGAATTGAACTCGCGTACCGAGGGATCTGTAGACATAGTAAAATTAAAATATTAGACACTACTACAGGAAAGTTTTTCAAATTTGGACCCAGTAGTTCCGGAGATCTGAATCATGTTCTTGTAAATAGTAATAAGTCAAAACTTGCCTTTATATAATCCAACTGACTTTACGGTAATGTTCAAGGTTTTATTTACTATATATTGTTTCGATGCCGACAGTACATTAAGGTCGTCACCTATAAGAGAAACTGAAAAACAAAACAATAAATTTACTGTTGTAAGCGTAGATACTCTGTAAAAAATATATCATTATAAATCCATAGAAATTTTTACAGCATCAGCAGCGACCATTATATTTGACCAGAGGCGTGTGGTTCATTAGGTGCCAAGGGCACATCTGCTCGATATAAAAGGCAGGACGTATATGATTACTCCTATACTGAATATTTGGTAAGGCGGGTCGGATTGAACCCGGTGTGCTGTTTGTCGGATCTCGGGTCCTTCTCCCCCACGGAGGGTTCTCGCAGCGGATTTTATCAGGCAGGCCTGACTTAAATCTGCCCTTTTCAGGATTGGTGCGGGGTCGAAGAGCCCTGATTTAAATTATATGATTGCATTTTTTCTGCGTTAAAAAAGGTGGGTCGGATTACATTGCTCAGATTCCAAGTAGCTAATATAAAGCCCTATCATTTGAAACAATCAAAGCACACTAACAACATTAGGCAAAATTTAGAAAAGTCAATTTCTATACTGATTCGATTGAACACAAGTCTAAGGCGACACCTTGAAATCCGCAAACCAATAAAGGTCGTCAATCTTGCAATAAAAAATAAACACACATCACATCACCAGCCCTTTTTACGTCCCCAGTGCAGGGGCTCAGGCCTTCCTTATGGATGGTTAAGGAGGATGGGCCATGACCCTCCACGCTGGCCCAATGCGGATTGGAGGGTATAAAAGACTGCAAATGGACCAACGGCTTAACGTGCCTTCCGAAGCACGGAGTAGCTCGAGATAATAATTTTTTGGTCACCCATCCCGTGACCGACCCTTGCGAAAGTTGCTTAACGACAACAATCGCGAGCTGCGGCGCTTATCCACTACGCCACCGAGCTACCATATTTGATATTTTTACTTATTGGTAAACGATGTAGTGACAACTCGACTTATTAAAAGAAAAAAATATAAATATAATTTTTTCAAATTAGTAAGTAGTAAATAATTAAGGTAGTTTAACAACTACCGAAAATGCTGGCAATCTTGGAAGTTTCATAACAAAAAGCTTTTTTTTAACCCAGGGGAATTCAACCATAACCAGGGCTCTCCAACCCCGCGCCCGCCCTGAAAAGGACAGGCTTAAGCAAGGCCGGCTTACCCGCTGCGAGTAACCTCCGGAGGGCGTAGAACCCGGAATCCGGCAAGGAGCCCGCCGGATCCAGTCCCACATATCCGAACAGTCTACAAGGAAAAGGATTAGGATACGATATCGGTAGTGTAAGGCGGAATAACAAAGGTCAGGTTGGATATCGAGCGCAGAATACACTGAAACCGGTATGAGTACTATAAAAGCATTTAGTTTAGATAAGGCGGAGTACTCACCGGTTTCTTTCTGAAGAAATTCTTCGATCAAATCATTAAGAGACACCAATGTTCCGTAAACTTCAAATGTCATAAATGAATTTTGCAATAACATAAAATAAGTAACTACATAAAAATACGAATATGGTGAATACAATAATAACGTTGTCACTGAAAATAATATAAATAATATTTAATGTGTTCAACGAATATTTTGATATGAAAAAAATAGATAATCCAATTAATCCTATTGATCTTAAAATCGTATTAGATGACAGATACAGTCAGCAAGAAATATAATAATAAAATTACGTTTATATGAGTCAGATTATAACAAAAAAATCCTTTAATCACGCATTATAAGTATGATAACTTGATGATATAGTCATTAATTTGCTATGGTAGCAACCAAGCTCGAGCAGTACCGCCAATTTAACCACATTAAACTCTAGGTCAATGTTCTGACCCTACATTATTTGGCAACAAAGTTTTCCAGAAAATTTTATTCGTATGTACGACTGCTATCTGAGTCGGTTAACAGCGACGTAAATCGTCATACGAATTTCGTCTGTCATTCGTTTAGGTTTCATGAAAGCCAAGGTAAGCTACGGAAACGTTGTTGATAACGCAGTCATGGCATCCAATGAGATATAGCTCTGTGGTGACAACTTACTATCACGATTGTTTAAAATTGATGAATATACGTATATAAAATAATCGAAGAAGCTTGATATTGTAAACACGAAAACAAGTAAACCCCATTTGATTTTTTTTTTCCTGTAGTTAGGTATTATGCCACTCTGCTTATTAACTCCTAATAGATTTAAGTCTTTGTATATCTGTAAAAAACAAAATAATAAATACAGTTTTAAAGCGAACCGTTGACAAATACCAATGACGCGTCCAGCAGGTGAAGCGACTCTAATACGTAATAAAACAAAATAAACTGTTTGTCTGATTTTTTTTTACAAATATAAACTGCACATTTTGTGTTACTTATGATAACCACTAAATGAGTTGAATTTAAAAATCTTTGAATATACTTAAATTTTATACTTATATTGCACGTAAAAAAAAACTTGTAAGTAAGTCGGTCAATTTGCCTGTCTGTCACTATATATAGTTCATTCTTACCCCAAGTGAAAGACAGAGGTATTAACTCTAAATAATAGATATCACACCTTTTGAACTCTGTCAATTAGAAAATAGATATCATACCTTTTGCACTCTAGAAATAATTTTAATATCTTCTATTGTCCTTGTTGGTCCGCCATATACTGCGATCCCTGCAATGATTATTGACCCAAAAAGCTCACTGATCCATACCAAACTTCTTATGCCAGCGGAATACCTTGTTGATTCGCTAGAATCCAAGATCATGTCTTTTATCAATCCTATAACTGATATCACATCTGTAAAAAACAATATCACCTTAAAAACAATAGATTAAACAAAAAAGAATATTTGCTATAAAGTAATTGTGAGTTGTATACATGATTTATGGATAATCGATTCACATGGATACATTCACCATCATCATTATCCGTATAACATCCACTGTTGAACAAAGATCTCCTCCAAACATCACGTTAGGTTCCACGCAGTCCTCATCTAACGGTTTATTACTTTTTTGTTTGTCCACTCGACGACTTTATTACTATAACAGCCGACTATAGTACATGCCCTGCTCATTGCTACTCCAACCTTGCAATTCTGTGAGCTACTTCGCATACTTTGGTTCATCTGCGACTCTGTCCATTTATGACATGATCGTGCAGAGAGACTCCAAGCATAGCCCTCTACGTCTCTCTCCGAATTAGCCTTTTTGTGTGGGCCACAGTTGACCACCACATCTCAGTACAATAAGTCATCACTGGCAATACAGATAGGAATGAATACATTACAAAAATCAGTCGTTACATTTCTATATCTATATTTCTATAAAGAAATTGATATTTTTATAGATAAATTACGCATATTTAATGAATGCATTTTGGCATGCCAAAGTTATGATAAAGCAAAGTAGAACAGGTTATCGACAATTTTTTTGTTTGATTATAACGTAACGTTATGATAGATCTTCATAGCACATAAAGATCATTAGGGTTACTTTCTGAGTAGAAATAAAAGAAGAATTGCTACAATTAATAAATAAGACCCAAACAGCGAAGATTATATCAAAATACATTTGTATACTCACTGAATAGGGTGATGACTGTGTTGTTTATAAAACAGAAAGTAGAAGAGACGCTGATCTGATAGCCGTTATTGTTTTTTTCCGATTTTATAGGAGCGATCCCAAAAATTTTGGCCATTTGAAACATGAAATACGATAATCCGGAAACAGTGCACTGCACTTCTTCATTTGATGGCGTCATCTTTGCTTTTTTTTCTGCAATAAATATATTATTATAATAACAGAGCCTCTGTTGGGCATTTGGTAAATGCGGCGAATATTCTCAAGATTTTATTGAAGTGTTGGTTTAGACCAAAAATTAATGGAGATTTTGCGCATATCGAAAATTAATAGTACACACTGGAACTGAATTGTTACGTATAAGCGAGAAACAATTTAAATAATGTCATTATTATTTATATGTTAATGTTTTCTTATAAATTATTATGTTATTCCTACTAAGCCTAACGACTGTGTCAGCTTAAGGTATTCATATCGAATATTTTCGTCGTATTTATTTTTCACTTTTTTGTTTTTATAAATTATTTTAGGGGGTTTAAAAATAAACCTATATAATATCCGCGGTTTTCATATTTTTGAATAAGTTTTACGAATATAAATTTCGTGTTTTTTCAGAAACATGTGGATTGATTTCTTAACAGTAATTAAAAAAAACGACTGACCTTTCAACTATAATCTTTTGGAATTGTTATGTGATGTTTGTGGCTTCTTAATAAAGCAGCTGTACTCTGAATAAGTTTTTCATTAAGATAACAAGTCAAGGAGAAATCAATATATATATATATTTCTTTCAGTTTGATTAATTATAGTTTTAGTTAATGTTGTTTATTGGACATGTAAAAATGTACTGCTGTATATTGTGATATGTTTGGATCAAATATCGTTTGTATTTGAAATGAAATTATTAATAAAATCATTGCATTCAAAATAACATAGTTAACAGGATATATAATACATTTAGAAGAGTTGGAGTTTACAAAATTAATACACTTTTATCAATTATAGAAACGCAACATTTAAGATAATATGAGAAGGTAATGGCTTAGGTACTACAAAAAAAAAATCATAGCTTTACCTTAATATTCCAGTTTAGAATAGCAAACGCACCGAATCAAGATGTTATGTATGTAGTAAGGTAAGTATAGATTTTCATTAGATATATATTCTATCACTCTTTCCAATATTAGTTGATTTTCAAATACAATTTTACTGATCTATCTTAACGACAAATGACTACTGTAGCTTTTGTTTTGTTCGTTTCAATACACTTCATTGATTATTTATTTAATACCATAAAAAGCTTTACCTGTTGATAAATGAAACTACATTGGTTAGTCTGTCAGTTGGTTTTCTCATTAACTGTAAGTAATTAGTTGGTTTTATTGAAATGAACTCAATATATCAAGGTGTCACGAAAGCAATTAATTTCATGGACCTACTTTCCTGAAAAATATATAAGTTAAAATTGTGATGTGTTAAAGAATTATGTATTATTTTAAAAGATGCAATATTTGTATTTAGGGCAATGCGAGAGAGCAATATTTAGAGACGTATACTTGAATCCGTTCTTGATTTAGGGGCAACTATTTTTTTCTTTATTTCAAGTAAACAAATATATAAACATATGATAACCACGGAGGTTCGAGTTGTGTTAACAGAGTTTACAACTTGTTTGTATAAAATCAAATCCATTATATTATTGCAAATTACAAACATTAACTATCAATAGAAAATTACAATATGAGCCTAAAATTATTTACAATGTGTTAAAAAGTACCTCTTAAACTTGTATTTTATATTTTTCATTGATATGCAGTGTACTGAGGCCATTTCAATGATACAAATGTTTTATCGATATGTTACACTTACAATTAATGTATTAAGTTGATTGGTCCTTATTAACGATTGCAGATGCAGTTGGAACCAACGGTTTAACGTGCTTTCTAAAGCACGGTGTTCGAGATAATTGATTTTTGGTCACCCATCCTATGATAAGCCCTTGTGAAATTTGCTTACCTTCTGCATTTCAAACCGAACGCGCTAACCACTCACCATCGAGCTCCTCTTGGGGGATTGTTTTACTAAAGAGCAAACAAAAAAGATCAAATTCGACCTGACCTTTTTTTGACGTACAGAAATGGTTCACGCAAACGGGAAATGCGCAACTGTGCCTTTTTTTTATTGATATTTCGTATGTGGTGACGTATACGGCGAATGTCAATATGAAATTTGCAACTTAATAAGTTTTTTTGTCGTTAAAAAACATAGGGGATGGTTGGACTTGACACTTTGAATTGATTTTATTGGTTATTTCTATTTCGAAATTATAAAATTATTCACACAAAGAATTACTTAATATGTAGTTTATAATACATCATGGCCTTTGGACGTTATCACAGCTACGATCAACCCCTACTTTCCGTGACGAATGTTACCGAATCAAATGCCTAAAAACCCATAACAACGATTAATCTTCCACAAACTCCATCAGAAACGGTCGACTATCCGGAAAACCTTTTTATTGGTACAATAATCTAATCAGTTAGTGGAAAATAACTTTTTCCTTATGACAAATAACCTCATCACCTTGGTAATAATGTGGTTTTCTTAGGGAAAAAAATCGCAAAGTCAGTAACAAGGTAAATATGGACAAGGCATAATTGTAACATAATTAGATAAAGAATTATGTCTAAATATCAACTATAATGACAAAAGATAGCTAAATCCGTTTGTTTTTGCCATTAAAGACTGGTTAATATTTGTATCTTTAAACGTAATTTATTACGTGATCGTCAATTTTTTGAGAAAATTGAGCGTGTGAATTCATAAGAACTCATGGATTTCAATCAAATAAATTCAGTCGACGTTATGAAGTAAAAACAATACGTTTACGGGAACTCACTAGTTAAAATTAAAATGGTGCAAATTTGATTTTTTCTCTCATTAGAGTAAACGAAACTGATTTTCTTGGATTTGTTATGTTATTTTGTAGTTAAATAATCATATAAATAAAATTATACCCCATGTGTACTATGATATAACAAATATCTTAGTTATTTGCAAAATTAAAAATGCAGTGTTATAGTACATTATTAAAACAACATATTTATTTAAACAACATCATGTGGGGCGTCTTTGTGTGATTTAAACAACCCATTTTATAATATCAATCTTATGATTTCATCCTTAGAAATTATTAAATATTAAATAGTAATTGATATTATCGATTACCTAAGTGTATTATAATTTAAAAATATTTATGATGTACCAAGGTGGGCGCCAAAGAAAATTTTTATTTGTATTCTTTTTGCACAGCACATTTCGTGGCTCCTGCCACTGAATTACCGTTTATCCGACGCGATCATTCGTCAGAAAGCTCATGGCGCATCTGGCATCTAGATTAATAGCGAGCCGCATATGCGTGTTTTCCGTTTTGCTTTGTTCCGTCAAAAGATTTGGGTTCCGACTAGCATAGTAATGAAATATTAGCGTAATAACATTACTTAGATTTGAAGGATGACCCCTATTTATCTAGCGGTTATTTTGTATTTGTTTATGCATATTTTCTTAATAGACATTGGCAGCAATTCTGTTGAATAAACTAGCTAAATATTGTTTTGTGGGTCAATGATTTGTTATGTTTTTGATTTCAGTGCTTTGTGTTATTGTTGTGTGTACTATGCGTGCTAATATTAAACTATTTTCTTTCTTTCTTTTATGAAAATATGATAGAAGAAGTACACTTATTGTATTATTGTTCATAGGAGTATGATAATATTTCTTTGATTGCTTTTGACTTAGGAATGTATTAAGAGTACAAATTTAAACACAAAAATTTTAAGTATATACATATTACATAATTTTATTTCATATTTTTATTTTATTTTGGTACAGCAACAGAAAACGAATTAAGATCATGCACATACAATTATGTATCATTAATTAATTGCATGTTTATTTCTCTTACTATTACAGCTGCACACAACACTTGAATAGTACAAGTATCAATAGTAAATAGGGCAATGCATAATCAATTAAAGTAAAAAAAAAAATACAACGATAATTGAAAATAGACATCATTATTGAAAAGAATAGAAAAGAATATTTAATTAAAATAATAATTATTACATTTAAAACACCATAATTTAAACCTGCATATTCTTATGTAGGAATAATAGGAGAGTGAAAAAATATTAAAATCGTCACACATAGAAATTCTAGACTAGACATTCTGAAAATACGAACATTGCATGTTACATTATTTTTGCATATTGGTAGGGACAAAAGTTTTTGCACCCTTTTGCTACCACCTACTTTAATGGAAAGTGGGTTAACAGATCTTCAATGTCTCATACGGACTTGATAATTTTGTCGTCGATAGGTTCGCTATGTCTCGCCTTGATTGAAGGGTGCTCACTTTGAAACGATCAAGTATGGCTTCATATGTATCCAATCTATGTCTTTAACCGAATGTTTAAGTGAACTTTAATATCGAGGAAACCATCTTAGAATAGAGAGTCTATTCTGTCAAAATTGATGCTAGAAAATGGTAGCCATATTATCGAACAGTATTCAAGTATGTTTCTGACCAGTGCAAAATAGAGTATAATACCTATATACTGCTTGGTATCTTGAAGGTTTTATTATTCTGAATATAAATCTCTCTTTCTCGTTAGGGATCTATAACAACATTTTGTCTCGCCAATAGTTTGCCATAAATAGTATAGGTAATGGGTGTATTCGTTCCATTGGTGGTAGGTTTTAGGTTTGTCGCGTAGTGTTACGTGTTCGCAAGAACACTCCTGCACTTCATCCTGGGGCACGTCGCGCCCAACAGGTGTTCCAGAGTTATCATATTTCGGTAATTTTGTATGATAGGCGGGACAAGACTAGGTTCTTCTTTCACTTTAAGCTGCACTGTAGAAACTATAAAATCGCTTTTCTGAAACGTAGGCACATGCTAGATCGCACATGCTGTTACATGTGCAAGACTTTGATAGTTCTTTGCCCGATATAATGACCAAGCATCCCGTATAGGTATTGATATAATTTCTTGCGAAGACATTAAAATGAAAAAAAAACAATGTCAAGCGGTACAAAAACAGGAAAAAAAAATCCTTAGCTTTGGTTCGAACTGGAGGTCACCGAGTGACAACCAAATCATCGCCGTACCATGTAACGGGTCAACCAAAATATGAGATCAGTATTAATGGACTAGTGGCCGCCAGCGACTACGTCCTCGTTTTCCATTATTTCTTCGCTCTTAATAGTTGCAGCGTGATGCTATATAGCCTAAAGCCTTCCTCGATAAATGGTCTATTCAACACAAAAACAATTTTTCAATTCGAACCAGTAGTTCCTGAGATTAGCGCGTTCAAACAAACAACCAAACTCTTCAGCTTTTTAATATTAGTATCGATTACGTGTGGATAAGAAATATTTTTTGTATCAAAGTCAATGGCAAATCACGTCATTATTTATTTTATATTAGTGGGTAACTTTGCAAAGTTTTGTGAAAATTGAAGAAAATGAAGGAATTTCAAAATAAATTGTCGGTCACTTTGAATTGTCTTATAACAGGTTCATTTTGCGCACAATTTATAATAAATTTGAACACTTTTACTATAATATTCCAGCGCGTACTCTGATAATGTTAACCGCTCGAGTGGTACCATTGATTTTTATTTATGTAATACGTAAACTTTCAAAATACGGGTAATCTTGTAGATAAATATATTAAATAGTGAGCATCTTGAGATCAAAATATTATTGGTGTCTAAAGATGAATGCTTCTTATCAAAATTGGTTGGTATTCGGACCAATTTGACAATGACGACGACATCACCCTTTGACAATTTTCGCCCTATTATGAGCAATATAAAGGGTAATATCAGTTTTTTATAGAAGGTATACCATTTCATATTTGCTTTATTAACTACAGCTCCGTATACTATTTTTGTGCTAGTAATAATTTTCTTTTCCCTTTTTTATTGCAGCTATGAAGAGAATTGTGAAATCAAGGCATCCTCAAAGAGAAAATTATGTAGACTGCTTCATTTCTAATAACATGGTGACAGTATATCGCATATCGCGTCTTTTCGGACTGTCGCCGGTATATTTTGAGAGACATAGAAATATCTGCAAGATGGGATTCTCACCAATATTAAGTTTAGTCTTTTGTTTAATTACGACAATATTTAGTAAGTGTCTTTTAATATTATTTTTTTTAGAAATAAACGAAACTCGATGACACTGTGATCAGCGCGTTCGGTACGTAATGCAAAAGGGAAAAAACATTCACAAGGGCAGATCAATAGATGGGTGACTAAAAAATTTGTTATCATGAGCTCTTTCCCATTAATTCGCACTGGACTCGCCTTATGGTTCATGACCCAATTTCCCCAGTTCCATTCGATTATATCCATAGGGACGTTTATGCCCCAACAGTGGGGATATTAATAGGCCGATGATGATCTTTTATAGCCAGCTATCTAGTTCGGTGAAATTGCCAATTGTCTTGTTTCCCAGATTATCTCCGGTGGGTCTACCTCATATTTACATTCTTAAAATGAACTTAACGTTCAGTCATGTATTGTTAGAAGTAGTGCGTATGTTTAATACATTGAGTTGTAACCAATGCGCTTGGTGTTCAATACTGTATTGAACTTCATGTGCAATTTTAGTCAATCAAGAGCAATTTAAGTATTATTACGGAGTAGACTAGTTTTTGTAATATCCCAGGAAGTTCTAGATAGTTTTTAAGTAGCGTTTATATAGCGTATTTAAAAGATCATTACTGAAGAAATGCGCGTGTCCGCGTTAGTTAGGCCCATGCCCTTTTTTAAAAAACTTATTATTATACATATTAGTTGCATTTGTTGAATTTATCTATTTATTTAACTAGTCCTACTATATTACTGCGTCCTGATTTTTTGTTCTGTAAAGGTGGGAAAGAAATTTATATACTATCGATATCCAATGTTTTAATGATGTTACTGTAAGATCAATGTTGCCATCTATGTTTGTCGAAGAATAATTACAAAATATCATATTTATCGTTATTACAATAACACAATTTAGTGGATGAGCAAAATGTATTTTTTACTGACATGGGATTTACAACTATTTCAGGATACTTGAGCAAAAAGATTTGTAATGTTGTCGGATAGACAGCTGCTCGTTAATATATTTTTTTTATATTAATATGTCGAAATAAATTTTCAGATATTTTATCGATAGTTGCTGTGGTTTTGGATCTGAATGTGGATTCGGAACGATCATCTTTAACAGGCAAATCGCCAAGACGTCTAGTACATGCTGGTCAAATATCACTAACGTTTTTATGCTCGAGTGTGATCGTTTATGGAGGATCGAGAAGGACAAAAGCAATGATCAAGAACCACTGTAAATTGCAAAAGGTTACTTTAATCAATCTTAATATAACATATAGTAAGATACCTACCTGTACAGGGTAAGGTAAGCGTACTCTGTATCGAACCTGTGTAAGGTAACCGTACTAATTTTCGAAGCCCTGAAAATGTTAAGCAAAGAGAATAATTCAGGTATGCCATCATGTGATTTATTAATATCAATACGCTGTTTAGTGTAGATGTGACTTTTTTTATGTAAAAAAGCGATCAAAGAAATGTTCAATTTAATTAAAAGTATGGCATCTTCATAGATTTTTTTTTTCTCCTGATTCTCAATGGTTGCATTTCAGAGCATCATGGCTGCATTACGCGCCACACACACGCCAATGACTGCTTTCATGGAAAAAAAGGATTAGTAGTATTAATAGGTGAAACGAGATCAACTCTTTTCCAAACGTTTTGTAATAAAATATCATCATAATCTTTTTATTTTCAGATTCAAAACCTGCTGAGTTTAAAGAAAATAAAAAATATATGGAAAATGGAAGCGATAATAATTTTTATGGTTATATTGATATTCTCTATGATCTGCTGGAATTACATAATATTTTTGAGATCAGTGATAAATAAGGGACGCGATTGTACGTTTTAATTATTTTATCATGAAATATCTGTTAGTTAATCACCAGTAGTATACTGTATACCCAGATATCGCTGGGGCATAGTTCTTCTCTTTTTATACCCACGCACCCAGTGCAATGGGTGATAACGTGTTCAGATGTAGTCGGATTAATGATTAACTTGCTTTGCAAAACAAATATTATGTATCACCCATCCTATGACCGGCTATGTGGATAACCCCAACATGATTGTGTTAAACAATATTCGCAAAACCTGTATTCGCAAAAAAAAAAAAGGCCTTTGCAAAATTTGCTTTAGTACAATTAACGTACAAAGATATTATAATTGTCACACTTTCACATCATGTAAAATGTTTCAGTGTGGTCTGCATCGTTGTACTTCTTCTATTATTTTGGATGGCTTCCGGTACCAATTATGAGGGTTCATGTTGCATGCATGTTCTTAGAAGTCTATAATACTATGAAACTATTGAACGATCATTTCGAAAACATATGCAAAAGGGATAGTAAGTAGATATTATTTTCCATAGTTATAGAAATTGATAAATTACTTTTAGTTTTATCACTATTATAGCATCATTCTGATTAGACATGGAAGTACAGCTTTTTACGTGGAACACACTGAAATTTTTTAGAAAGGAAAACTGAAGAATATGTCAATATTTTTATTGCTTTTCTAAGAAATCTTAGTTCGTTTCTAAGTGCCGTCACATGCGATATAACTACTGACTAAAGCTGTGAGTGCAGAGTGCATTTCCAGAAAACTATTGGACATACATATTTTATTTTATCATTGGGGTCGTACGTAACAACCATCTGTGACGATAGTATAAACAACATTTGAGTTGCTTCCGTCGAATTTTTCAAGCTTTCACCGACACCAATTCAATTTTTAAAGTTTTAAACACATGATCATTGACAATTATTCTGATATAACATTGTAGTGTAAAGCCACAACAAAAGTATTAAATAATTTTTGGAAAAATTCCGTTAAATTAATTTCGTCGTACGACGGACGTTTGGTGTATAACTCCCGTATATCGTAGGTAAACGATGTTCAGGCTTCAATCTTCTTACTGATTTCTGTGAGCGTTTGTTCGATCTAGGCTTTAGCTTTGTTTTTACCAGTACGTGTTCTTTTTTTGCCTTTTTTCTTCTTGAGCTTTTTTTGAATATCACATTATATTTTTACAAAATTTTTTCGTCATGTTATTGCATTAAAATTCCCTTTATAAAGAATTCCGTCGCTAATATTAATCGTTAAACTTTAATCAGATTTATTGCAAAATTCCACAATCATCTATGTGACGTCTATCTGAGTGACGTTATGAAGTAATTCTCACTCGTGCTTTAAGATTTCAGACCAAGTTCAAGATTAAATTATAAGACTATTAACCATCTCCTACCTATATATGATGAAATGTTAACTGTAATGAGGGATTTGGACCGAACTTATGGAATTGATATGATGATCTTGTTGTACTCGACATTTGTAGATTTGATACTGACGCCTTACAATTTAATCGTCAACCTAAGTACGTATATTAGAATGTTGAATTTGATAAATTGTAATTAATGAAGTCCAATAGAATGGTTGATGATATTTAACGTACAAAAAGGAAGTTCACAATTTTTTTTTTTATGAACTTTTAAATTTGCACTTCACAATGGTCAGTAGTAGTTTTGTAAACTTTGTAAATATACACAGCAATGACAGCGTAATGGTGGGAGGATGGATAACGATGCTTGTGTCGGTATAATCAAGCCTAGCACAATTTTTACTCGACAATGTCAATAATGCCTTAGTATCCTATTAATATTATAAATGTGAAAGTTTCTTTGTTTGGATGTTTGTCGGTCAATCACGCTGAAACTACTGAACGGATTTTGATGAAATTTGGTACACAGATAGGGTATTAGCTGACTTAGATAATAGGATACTATTTATCCCACTAAACATTTGCCTAGGGTCCACGCGGGTGAAGCCGCTGGCGAAAGCTAGTTTATAAATAATACTTAGATAATATTTTACAATCATACATTATTATGCATTTATTTCGACATAGAATCATTGTTTAAAATTATGAATGAATGAGCTTCCTTTTTTAATTCGTCAGGTAAAAGATAGATTAGTAAAAGTAAGAAAATTTCATGACTTACAGAGACTTTTAATCAATTAATAATGTTATCAAATTATTTATTAGTGTTTTTTCCATCAGGAGGACAGAAGACATTGAATGTGTCGCTACTGTTATTAGAATCGATATACATGTTAATGCTAGTAGTGGCTGTTGTGGCTATCGTGGAACCTTGTCATAAAACGCTAAAGCAGGTCGGTAAAAGATCTTACAAATAAATGTCATGTTGACTAAAGTTGCTTACATTATATAAAAAAAAAAAAATCTTTGGATTAACTTGGTTGTTTAAAAATGTAACTAAGATTACTAAACGGTACAATTACCAATAGATATGTGGCAACAGCGGTTAGTCAACCGCTGTCGGTCCATCTTTTTCCTTTGAAGTATTTTCCCCAGGAGTTATAAAATGTAGCATTGTAGAAAAGAATTAGTTAACACTTCTAACAAATTAATAATAATTTCTAATTATGACAAAATATATTTATTAACTAGTAAGGTGCTAAGAACTCTGAGAATAATTTTTAATTGCAAAACCAAATTGATTTTAGACAAGATAACATTTTTAAATTTATGGGGATGAGAAAATCAGTAAGCTTTTTTCCTCTTGAGAAGATTTGTTGAAAAATTTGCGTATAAACGTTTTTTTTTAAATATCCGCTCTGACTGATATTGTATATGATCTTTTCTTATTTATTGTCTGTTTCTACATTATGTTATGTATTTAATTCGTAACGAAATTGTAGGTAACAGTAGATTATGGAGTTTACACAGAATTCCTAAGATCTGGGGTGGGTACTCGGTAAAGTTCGGTATATTATGTTTACAATTTTTTGAGATAAACTTTTTTCTACTTTGTTGTTTCCATGTGTAATTTTATTAAGTTAGAAAAATTATTCGACCTGACAAATTTGCTCTAAAACAAATTTTATATAGAAGGCGTTTATATAAAAATAAGTAATACATAGAAAGCATAATTCGAAAACTACAAAAGTCGTTGTACATACTCTGGAGTATTTTTGAATTTCAGGAATCCAAGTAATATTTTGTTACCATTCTGTTTAACATCTGTCAACATAATAAGAACTATATTTATGTTACCACCAGGTTGAACGTGCCAAATTTCTCGTGAGCAAGATCGCTATAAACTCAAGTGATAAATTGGTCGACGTGGAATTGAAGAAGTTCAGCCGTTTCTTAATCCTTAGTAGAGTCTCATATTCCCCAATGGGTTTGTGTACTATATCGAGATCACTAATTGCTACGGTAAGTTTCTAATTTGAATAAATATGAAATGTACCGAGTGATATAAAGCAAGTGCTTGTTACTATGAGTTATTTGGTTTCAAATAGTACTTATATAATTGTTTGGTTCTTCGAAAACTGTTATCAAAGAGCATTTACTAATAGTTATACTTAAGTAATTAAACATAATATTTGGGCTTTTTAACATATTTAAGCATCCCCTCTTGATATACCCATTTATTACTGATATACCCACTATGACAAAATAATTTGACGGCTTGGATATGTTTAATCGGTATATTAGATAACAATAAATATAGTTATATGGTAAATAATAAACGCGTAATATTTTGCAGGTAGCTGGCAGTGTAACCACTTATTTAGTTATACTTTTACAGTTTCAAGGTCGGGATGTTGGTGAATACTGATTTTTATTTCAATAAATATAATGAAATACTTTACAGATTTTTATTATTGTTCAACGGCTAAGATGAATTAAGGATATACATATAATGAGAAAAAGAATGTGTGTATTGCGCAACAAAAGAAGCACCAATATCTTTTTCGTCACGTTCTCAGTGATATCATTACCACTGCTGAGGATAGGACACCACATGAAACTCCACAACAATTGATCTTAAGTTACCTGCATGCAGAAGTTTCCGTGATTGCATTTTTATTCAATATAATGTCTAGAAAATAGATATCATTGTAGTTTGGTTAAAATGAACTTAACGTTCAATACTGTACTGACTGTAAATAATATATAAAACAATGCACACGGAATTAATGTCCACTGCTGGGGCACAGGCTTTCCTTATGGATGTGATCAAATGTAATAAGGAGGATGGGCTATGACCCACCACGTTGGCCTAGTGCGTATTGGTGGGTGCTAAAAAATGCAGATGCAACCGAGACCGATAGCTTAATGTGCCTTCGGAAACACTGAGAACTTATTTTTAATAATCAAATATGAAATGTTTATATCTTCACGCTGTATCCTTTGCTTTGGGTAGACAGAGAGGGCTAAACGCTGCAATGTTACGTCTTTCGCCTCGTCCACTTTCATTACTACTCTTTTTATCCTACGCGCCGGTTTTTGTGGTACGCGATTAATTTGTCTCTTAATTATTCACAGACTAGTGACTACGAGCACATCCATATAGAGAGGCAAATTGAAAATCATGTGGTGGGTGATTCCTGAGAATGACGTTTTTGAGTTGATTTTCCTGGTCATTTTGAAATCTCAAAATAACGAATATATTTTGGATCAAGGTTAAAATTAAGAGCCTTAGTTATAATATTTTTGATAGGCACCCCTTTCTGTTCAATGGTTTCAAAGACATTTGATTTTGAAATTTCGTGGCCAGTAAAATCAATAATGACGCACAGGAAAATCAATAAATTAAACATTACATTGAAAATAACTGTTTTTAAATTTAAATGGAACAATCAAATTCAGAAATTATGAATTTGTTCTTTATCTAATTTTTTTCAACAAATGTTTCCAAGATGATTTCTTTTTTATGGACTGGTTTGTAGTAGGGGTAGTGATAAGCCGAATGGAGTGACTTTCGAGGAGTGGACAGATTGAATGAATCAGATGTGGTTTGAGAAATAGAAAAAGCTGATTATTGATAAGTGAAGGTGGTGGAGACGAACAAACAATGCCTTGTTGATCTGTTTTGTACGTTGTTTCCCTAGAGCTTGTTTCTGCTTGCGATAACAATTTTGTTAGTGATCGTTTTGATCGTCTTGTTAATCGAGCAATTATATTGTTTCTAGGAGACTTTTTTCTGGTGACAGCGGGAGAAATTGATGAACTTGTTGGAAAGTTGGTACCACTTACTGAAGTAGAAAGTCTAAAAGGATTATCGTCACTTATTGAATTCTTGCACAATACCTGTTGGTCTTCCCCTTGTAAGCTTACTCTAATCATAACATTATTTTCATACAGCTGTCTCATCTTTTTTTTAAATTATTATATTCGAACTTTCACGATTCTTCTTTCTCAATTTTTTTGTTGTTGGTATTATTTTTCCGGATCTTTTCTGTTGCAGATAGTTTTCTATTTATCTTTCTATAAATCTCCTCTTTACTTTGCTTGCTTCGGGACATTTTGATATAAAAAATATGAACTCAAGTAATAAATATATCTATTTTGAGGTGATTACTTGCTGTTGCCTTCTATCACAGAGCCGAGGTGGTTTTTATTTGACTTATTGTTAGTACTCATCTTTTGAAATTTAACGTAGAATATGTAAATGTAATGAAAATAGAACAAACAACACTCATATTCAGCATTTTAAAATCAAAACTAAAACACCAAATTCAATATTTTAATCATAATATATATATTTTAGGTAGAATTTAGCATTGTTTATACTTTAAAAATCAAATACGAGTATATTACTAAAATAGGCTTTAGACCGCTTGAAAACTAAGATTTCCTAGAAAACTTTGATTTTCCTGGTTAAATATCCAGGAAAATCATAAAAATGGACATAATCGTCAATAGCTGTTTAAAGATAGTGGATAGCTACACCTATTTTACACAGTAGTACGCCAATAGAGAAAGCATGTTTTTAAAGTAAACTGAGATTATAACAACAACAGGATCTTTACAAACAAAACCAGGAAAATCAACTTCTTACCTAAATATTTCGTAATAGGTACAGCAAGTAACAGAAATCGACAAATAGTAATGTACGCGCATTTTACTGATGTAACAGGAAAGTCAACGTTTGGTCTCGGTCAACTTATAACTTTGAAGAATAGATGAATTTAAATATATTACAAGATTTAAATTACTATTATTTAATTCTTCAATTCATTACCAAACGAATTTACTCGATAATGTTTCCATATTCACGAAAAAATCTGTAAGCATTTGTTACAGAAAAAACGTGAAATGGCAGCACAGGAAAGTCAATTTTCAGTCATTTGAAAAATAAAGAAACATTTAAATTAAGTTCTTTTTCTTTATGATAAATAGTTTTACAACAAGATTACAGTTCAACTTTATTTGAAAAAATACGTGACAAATGAACGTAATTAAATATACGAGATATCCTTCTCGAAATCTAAAATTGAGCCTCTCAGGAATCACCTGGTGCGGTAGTAGTTTTGATTCACTCGATTGCTAGGGCATGTGTTGTATTTATTTATTAGTGCTATTATAGCGCTGTCCCGTATATTGAGTTTTGCTAAGTTTTCCCTATTGAAAACAATTATATCATTTTAATGTCAGCAATCTTTTCGGTTGTAGTTTTTGATCAAAACTGGCAGATTGTTTTGCGCGTTGGGCGTTGGCGTTATGAAATATATTAGTGAATAGTCGCTGATGACTTGACAGGATCGGATAATATTCCGTTTATTATAATATTACTCATGTCAAGTTACAACAAAGTGACTCGTGTATTTATTAATTTTCACTTTATCCCCAGCGAGTGTAGGCAACAAAAAATGGGAGTGGTGGTAAATGTCTGGTTTGAAGGTCATTTTAAATGAAAGATCTGTGTTTAGTGTTAAGACAATATTTGAAGCTATTTTTTTCTCAGGTACAAAAAGCCATTGGTTTAGTTTGATGTACCTAAGGCTAGATCAATAAAGTATTATATGATTTCTTTTTATCTAGGAAAAAATTCCGCGAATGCAGCGTGGGAATGCAAACATTACCGATTTACTGTGGATTTTTTTGCAACAATGAACACAAACGGTTTCGTGAAAATAACAGATTGATATTACAAAATACGAGGCTGTACAAGCAAGCGCGGTGTATGGTCTTCGGGCCGGTCCCGTGCATCACCCTCATGCGAGGGACATCGCTGAGTTTTAGTGAGTAAACTCGTACTTTTTATCTAGCCCCGAAGGGGCTAGCCGACTCCACGCTGGGGGGAGTGGGTCAATGTTAAAAAAAGGTTGTATGAGCTAAGATCCTTTTGCCTAAAATGATTTTACTACAACATAACACACAGCGGTATAAAAAATAAAGATATCCATGTTTGCTTTCCTATCGTTGCTAAACTCTTTCTATCAACACTTAGCTGATATATTGTTCCTTTGCTTTTCCTTTTCTAAACTTGATATTATTAAATATTATAAATATGAAAGATTTGATTGTTTGTTTGCTTCGGATAGACTTCAAAACGACTGAACCGATTAGAAAAATTATTTCACTGGAATCTACATAATACGTGGGTACAATAATACGTATACTATAATTAACGCATGGAAAGTTACAGCTAGTTAAATATATAATAGATTGTACTCCATTTATTTCATAATGCTTATTTAAAAGTTTATTGAAGAAAATTGTCAATTGCCCCCCAACGCGGTGCTTGTTTTTATATCTTTATAGATATCGTGTAAATGACACAACATGCTCAGTAAAAAACGATTAAATAGACTGAAGTATACGAGACTTACATATACAGTATATAAAGTTGATGATTATTTTAAGGATCGCAATGCATGGAATTGATAGCCTTCGCTTTGTTCTATAAAGACTAATTATATGTTCAACCTATGTCCTACAGACTTTGAAAGCTGTATTTATTATTGTGATAATACATATTATTTTGGTAATGATGACATGATTTATGTAAATGTCATTACTTATGATAATAAGCTGGTAAGTTTCTTTCGCTTGTTCTTCTTGTCAGCTAAAAGACGTCCTGAACAAGTGGTAGGGGAAAAAAATTTTTTTTGACGATTCAAAAGTGCTTGTAATAGTTTACTTGAATAAAGATATTTTCATTTCATTTCAGTAGATTTGTGTTTTCCATGCTGTTTATACCATATATACTAAACTGAAACTACTCATAAATATTTATCAGGATCTAATTATTAACCCTTACCATAAGAACATTATGCAACGGCAGGATTTCTTTTAATGATAAGATAAAGATTTAAGTATCTACTAGCTTATTTTGTAATTCAACTTCTCGAGCCTTTACTACCTTAAGAAAAACACGCAATAATTTTGGTTATTAAAAATCACGTGGCTTAGATTATCATTGCCATCAAATTAAATAGCTCGATGGGTTGGGGGCTAGCGAATTTAAGCAATTTTTTATAAAGGCTGGTCATAGGACGGGTGACCAAAAATTAATTATTTTGAGCTCCTCCACGTTCCCGAAGGCATGTCGAAATACCCATTAATCTTTACTGGTTTTACCTGGTGAGTCGTGGTCCGATCGATTTATGTCTCAAACGACTTAGGTCTATAGGACTAGTATCTCAATCCTGCAAATTTTTACGTAATAACGCATCTCGATGAAGTCTTAACCGTTTTGCCATTACATTATCTACCTGAGTCTATGTCTTTTTCACAAATCAATCAGATATATTTATTATTTTGTGATCTGGTAACAGCAATCTGTATCATATGGAGTTGATTTGAAGCATTATTAAATTTCCATAATTA